GGAAAGAGGCATTCCCTGTCTATTTGTTCATTCATTTGGTTTGTTGTTCTTGTTTTTTTTTTCCGATTTTTTTTTCTATGTTAGTTAGGAGAATTGATGAGATTTTGTCGGCTGATTTTAATTTTATGACAATTGATTGATTTCTCGTCCTTGATTTTATTAATTTCGTATATGTAATTAGCGTTGCTTTGAATTTTTTCATTTAATTTCACCAGGAACAAAATAAAAGATCAAAACCATTTCAAAGAATCTGCTCATTCGTTTTTAATTTCCCCTTCAGATTTTTAACATCTCACATTGATTCCGATTCCAATTTGCGTATGAATCTCTCCGTGTTTTGATGAAACTCATGAACTTAAACAAGGAAATCTGTGCGTTGATGAGTATCCTTAATCGTGCTGTGAATGCAGATTTAGAAAACTTTTACAGCTTCAAAGACATTCAAGCTTGGAACTGATCAATTCAGCGCGCGTAATTAAAAATTTGATATTCCGCACAATATTTCTAGAATGGATGAGATTGATTGAAATGTGAGAAGATTAGTAGGAAAATAGAATTTAGCGAAAGAAAATAAGTGTATGGAGAGGAGAGAATTAGGTTAGAGTTGGGGGTGAAATTCAACAGATGTCCATAATTAAAACGAGGTTTTACATGCACGGCACTTCAAAACTTTACTATTTACATATCTCCCCCATCAAAAATTTTTCTGTGCGGACTCATTACGTAGCTCTACATGTGGTTCAGGTTATTTCTTGGTTATTTTCAATAATCCCGAAATAATCCAAAAATAAGTCGCGATTTTTTATTTTTGGGTTATTTCTGAGTTATTTCGGGATTATTGAAAATAATCCAGATGAAAATAATCCAGAAATAATAAAATAACTCAAGAATAACCTGCACCGCACGTAGAGGTACGTCAGGTGTCCGGACAGAAAATGCGCTCCTCCCCCACAACATATTATATTTACATACGTACGCCTAAAACCTCTAATAAGTAATACCCACAAAATATGCAATCTTGTTCACTTTTGCAGTGAAATCCGCATGAGTTGTGCTCTTTATTCTTAAGACCAGTGTCTCAGTTGGGAGAAAAACATAGAGGTGAGAGATGATAAAATATTACTTGCATTGTTCGTATGTGCGGACGATCAATCACATTCGAAGTGGCTTAGTGTGCATGTTCGAATGTGAATTGTGGTTCATATATACGAACTGCACGTAATATTTTCTCGAGAATGATAAAGAAGGGGACGATAAATCAATTTTGCAAAAAAATGAAATCTTTTGTGGAACCCGCTTGCACATTTATTCTCACGATAAGGAGATAAAATTTTGGACAATGGGAATATAGGGGTGGAACCCCTTTTGGTCAAAATTATTAAATGTTTAATTATTTTTAAATATTCATCAAAGACATCTCTTGATGGGAGGCAAAATTATTAAATTGCTTAAATTACATAAAAAAATATGACAAGTGGAAGACAAAGCATGTAAAATAAGACATGAGAAGTGGAGTGCTAGTTTTGGGGTTTTAGGAGAAGTTTGGGTGCTACAAAAGTTAATAGAGACACTTAGATGGGGGATATGTAAATAGAGGAGTTTTAAGTGCCATTCATATAAAAATCCAATTAAAATAAAAAATCTTTATAAGCCAAAGGGTAATATGTTCGATTCAAATCCCAGACCTTACAATGTGAGACTACACCTCAACCACTACATCCTGGATAAGTGCGTGTATTTTAAAGATTTATTATATTAAAAAAACTATAAAATTTGTATGAATTATGAAAAACTTATATCAAGGTACAAATTATGTTTAATTTATTCCAAAGCTTTATAATTATCATTATAATTATTAATTTATTTTATTTCATTCAAAGGCGCTTTTCCCAGGGAAAATTATTCTAATTTGACTTGCACTATTCTTGACTATTCTTAATAAGAAAAATACAATTTTAAAAAATCTTAAATCTTCTCATAAGATAAATTTTGAATTATTTGACATATTTTCAGCTAAAATACAAATGTGTTTATTTTATAGCCTCAAAGTTAGGACTAGTACATAAAATGAATAAAAATAAATAAGTAAATATAAAAAAGGCTGAAAAATGATTGTTAAAGCCAATGCCAAATAGGGTGTGCTTTGAGAATGAGATAATTAAAGCACTAATTCTTAACTTTCATATTTGCATAAGTGAAACTCTTATCATTAATATCACATTAACAATACCGGTGCTAGCATAAGTTCATAATAATCAAGTGTAATAAATATAAATATCAAACATTAAAATTTAGATATGTAAATACAAAGGTATTGTATGATATGTACATTAAAATTTAGATATGTACATATCTAGATATTAGCACAAAAGATATACGATTTAGGCAATGAATATATCTAGATCTTAAAAAAAAAGCTGGTTCCACCCCCTAAACAATGTAAGTGGTGAATTTATTGAAACTAAATATTAAGCATTCAAATAATCTAGACGTTATTGGCATAATTGATTGTTGTTTATTTTAGTTAAATTTTAATTTATTTTTCTTGTATTTCTATTTTTATTTTTACTTTAAATAAGCACTCTTTTGGATGCCTATTTATTTTCTCTCCAATTATGAAATGATTTATTGTGTAAATACATAGTCCAACTATAGGAGAACTTAGCATAATTTGATAAGGTTTCTTGCAATTAATGACAAACTAGAATTTTTAAATAAGTGAGAATGATAAGGGCCGAGCTTCCATAACTTATATAATTACTGAAGAAATTAGGAATTTTAAAGTTATATTGCACATGAAGTCATAAAGTTTGGAACATAAAATAATAATATCTAACCTACTTCTGGCTTTTCTTCTAAGAATTGAACTAAAAAGAAAAAAAAAGTTCTAATAAGAGGTGGTGACATCTACACCACATTAATGTATCTACCAAGAGCAAATTTCATTAAGATTTAATGTCTAAAATGTAAAATTCTTGTTGGTATGTGCCTTAATGAATAACATATTGATTGAAAATAAACTAAAGATTTCTAAGTTATCTAGTTTTAGTGCTTACCCTATCAAGAAGAAAACAACTCGTGTATATATTGTGCTAACATTTTTACGAGTGATTCAAAATTATGCTTACTGTAACAATTGACATTATTAGATGATGAAGAGATTTATTTTATCTTACATATACATAAATAATTTTGATTTATCCAATATAATTTGCAATAATCTAATTATCATAAGTTCAATAAATTGAAAATTGATTTTAATTGTTTGTGAAAAAATAGCCATGATCAGTTTTAAGAGAATAGTGGAATCTTATTTTCTTGCATGTGGGGTTGTTAAAGCTTTCAAATTTGTGCAAAACTTCACCTATAAATAGTGATCTAGAAGCTATAATTTGGGATCCATTCCCCACTTGCCATAGAAGCAAACGATATCATAGCAATTAGGGTACCACATCCAACCACATGTTTACATATCGAGACATTTACATACCACTTATTATTGCATATTTACATTTATAAACTTCAGTGTCATAAAACTATTTATGAAAGCGTACATTTCACATTTTAAAATATATTTTAAAATTAAATTTTTATATGATATTAAAAACTTTAATGCAATTCACCTAAACATGAATGTTTAGGTGTTGTATGACATGTAAATGTCATTTTTACATTTATACCAATTCTCAAACTTTGACTCTAAGCATTGCCTAGGTGAAGAGAACACAAATTTAAGCCAAAAACAATCGACTGCTAAATTACAAAGCACGCATTCACACAATTATACAATTTTAACTTAAATTTTCTTTTGTAATCGAAAAATATGTAAGTTTAACAAATTTATTATTACTAAAAATATGCGCGTAGCAGTGAGACCCAGCGGCTATCGTACTCATTTTTTATACGCGCAGCAATAGCTTTTCAACAGTCTTGATTGGCCTTCTGTTTGACATTGTGAAAGAAACAAATCGATTGACTTTTGCACTGACCCACTGAATGCAAGCCTTCAATAGAAAAGTCCCTCGCAGTCTTCGAAAAATAAACTAAATATACTCAAATTAAAATTGATAATTGTGCCCAAAATAATAAAAATAAAAAGCCTAACTCAACAATCGGTCAGATTTTAATTAACAAAAATTCTAAATAAGTGGACTGATAATTAACCTTAAAAATTAGAATGAAATGTAACTTCAAAAGTAATCAAAATGGACTCAAATTATTGACAATTATACCCACTATTAAAAACTTAAGAGACCGTTTGGGGCAGCTTATAAGGGCGGACGACGTTTTCAAAACGCTGTTGTACCGTTTGGTTCACGCTTTTATTTAGCTTATTCGGAATCGCGTTTGAGTTTTTACACTAAACGCAGGCAACGGGGCCCACGGGTCGCGTTTCAAGATAAACAACTTATTCTGAAACGCACAAGCTGCCTTAAACACACTCTTAATCACCAATCACTCAAAATTTAAAATAAGTGAATTGATAATTAAGCTCAGAGACTCACATGACATTAATTCTATTCAACTCTAAAATTAAACCCTAAAAACATAAATCTCAAAACAAAAGGCTTAACAAAATCACAAAAACCAGCTCAAAACACAAACATTCTTTGTCCAGGGGATTACATTCATGAGGTGAGGAAGAGCTGCCTGAGCCATGCATTCTCAGCAGCATCTTTCTCCAACTCACAAGTTAGTCTGCTCACGTTCTGCATGGCTTGCTTCACATCCATTTGGTCCAGCGGCATTTTCGCGAATTCCTCAAGAAACCGACGAGCTCGAGCCGCACCCGCAGCCATATCATCGGAACCGCACATCCGTATCCGTTTAGTTCCGGCCTGACCACAAAATGAACAAATATTCGAGTTCTTGTGCACCTGAAAGCAAAATAATAACCTAGAAATCAAAACTGGAATGTGACTAATATAGAGCTGCAGCGCACCTCGTCATTCAAATTATCAGAAATAATTGGTAATTGAGCAGAATTTTCCAGCTCAGCAGCCTTTCTTTTAGCAAGAGCCACAACACTCTCAGGGAAATTTGCAAATTCTGCAACATGGATTCCAAAACTTTGATCACAAGCACCAGGCTCAACCTGCAAATAATCTCAATTAAACAAATGATGATTTACATGCATACCACTCAATTCTCATGTATTTACATATCTAACCAAAACTTCAACTTTTACATATATGGCAACTTACCGATGCATGAAAATATATATTTCACTTATTTAAAAGTTAAAATGGTGATAATTTTATGTGATATAACAGCTTTGGGAGGTATAAATGTAAAAAAAATTAAGTTTAGGTGTTAGATATGAAATACATAAGAATTGGGTGCTGTGTATGTAAATGGCCCCTCAAAGAAATCCAAAGAGAAGCCATAGACCCTTTATGTCATATTCATCCCGCTTAGGTTTCGCTTGTACCTTATAGAGCATAGTTAATTTTCGACTTGATGGGTCTATGTGAGCCCCAACATGATAATTCGCCACTCCAACGGCAGCCATACTGCTCGAATCATCGTGCGTTCCTTGCGACAAAGCAGTCAGTTCGTGGAAGTGAGTGGCGAACAAGGTTGGAGCTCTGGTAATCTGCACAAGGTGCTCACATATAGCCCATGCTAAACCTGAAGTAGGAAAAAGTACGGGGTCATTAATCAAATAATTTTACCATGTAACCATTATGAACGAAAACTAAACTTTAATGATGCCCCCAATTCATGCAAAAGTACAATATTAATTAGAGGCACTTACCTGCATACCACTCATTTCTTATGCATTTAAACATCTGACACCTAAACTTTCATACTTATATAAAACTCTAATCTTTAATATCACATCAAAAACACAGTATTACAAACTTCTTAAAAGTGAGGTACACCTTTTCATAGGCTCATGACACCGAAGTGTGGTATCAGATATGTAAATACAAAAGAATTGTGTGGTATGTATGTAAACTTCACCATTAATTATGAGGGAGAATATTCTAGAATAAATATAAGGTCCAGAGATGCCCACAAGAAGCATAAGATTTAAAATAAAGATAAATGAGGCTGTAAACCAAAAATCTTCGTTAACAAAACTTATTCAGCCAAAAGAAGATCAAATATATTCACAAAGAGCGATAAACAACAAGAAAAGAAGATCCAAAAAAATATTTATAATAAAGTTGATAGCTAAATTTTATATTTTAAACAAGACATTTATCATAACAACGTTGGGTATGAGCTACCTTCAAATGATACTCCATGCTAACACCAAAAATCAACTAACGCAGTTCGCATAAACTTTAGAAGGGGCATTTACATACATACCACACAATTCTTACGTATTTACATATCTACACCTAAACATTCATATTAAAAATTGGGTGTAATGTATGTAAATGCCTCTAAAATAAAATAGATTATGAAAAAAAAAGTAACAAAAAAATTGAAATATATGTTAATGCATTGCTCATGGCAAACTGATATATATACCATTTTACTCTTGCATATTATTTTCTAAATTCTTGAATTACTATAACTTAAAAACATACCAAGCCACTAAATTTTGTTTAACTCACAAAATAATTGATTAATATTTTCAGGTAAACCACCTTTAAGATGAATGAGCAATAGTAGTGTATTCACCTACAGACGACGAGAGATGGGTAATGTAATAACTTTTTTATGAGTTGTAAATTTAAAAAAATAAATAAATTTGGATGTATTTATTGGCTTTTCTTTGTATTGGGAGACTTACATTTTACAAAATTTAGAGAATGTTTAATTAAATAATTTTTTCCCTACGACCGACACTTCTCACTTTGGTATTCCAAACTTACAAATAAGGTCGTGACAACTTAGGCATTAATGAGTTTTTAAATTAAAATTTAAGACCATTGCTATATGGTTATGGTAATTAAGTTAAAATAATTTATGTTTTAGTAAACTATGATAATTAATTGGTTAGTTGATCGGCACACCGATTTATTTATGCTATTTAGAAACAAGTGTTTACTAAGATTACTGAAGTTTTAATAATGCTTAAATATTGTAATTAATCTCAGGATAATCAAATAAATAATTCAACTATAATTTGGTTGATTGAGGTTTTAATTTATTATCATATTAATTAACCTAAGAAGTTAGTAATTAATTAATTATTACATTGATAACTTAGAGAATAGTGCTTCAATTAATTAATTAAGATAATTCATGATTCCAACGTTAATAAATATGGATTAAGTAAAAAAATTAAGCTGATGCTATCCGAATTAAATAAACTTAATTGAGATTAATATTTATGTTTTCGTTTTCAAAATATTTTCCATTCTCATGCTACAAACGAAAAAAGATGAAGTGTCTAGCTATGACTTTCGACTAAGTGAAAAGCAAAAATAAAAAAATAAAAAAATAAGAAAAAACAAAACAAAAAAACAAAGGTAAACAATTCAAACCTTATATTAGTAATACAAATAAAAAAATTACGCACCAAATCCATCATAAGTAGAGGTGCCACGGCCCAACTCATCAATTATTACAAGCGACTTATCCGATGCACCTTTCAAGATAGATGCAGTTTCAAGCATTTCTTGCATGAAGGTTGAAACACCACGGAGCTGCAAAATCAAAGAGAAATAATAGTCCATTATAATCCAGAAGATAGAAATCATAAACATTTTGATTTACTACGGTATGAATAAAGCTCATCGCACGTGATCGGTTAGAAAATGCAAAATATCATAGAAAGGGAAAAAAATAATTAAAGGAATTTTTGTCACTTCAGTTTACTACAAAAGTACTTCAGTTGACCTTTTCCTTGATGGTGTAGGATTCCTTTCGAACTGGATGATAACTTTTATTAAAAATGATTACTAACAAAATGCAGAATAACATAGAAAAAAAACGAAGCACAGCAATAAAAGAAATCTTTTGTTATTTTGGTTTACCATTAAAATATTCCAATTGAAGTTCTCTTGTGGAGAACCCCTTCCTAACTGGATGAGAACTTTTCGAAGTAAAATTATGTAAAAACATCTACTTTGCTGAGCACAAGATCACGGATATCAAAGTTCTTTCTAGTGTAGAAAACTGGCAACTCAAGCTTTATGTTTTTGGATCCAACAAAGTACTTGACTTTTGGTCGCTTACAACAAATCTCAGCGACTTCTGTGTGCAAAATTTTTTTTTATCAGGCACTTTCCTAATGGACATGGAGAGATTCTCTATGATCCTAGTCGTGGGGCAATAGATCTCAACAGTGACCAGAGTTCTTCGCAACCAAAAACGAGAGAAAAGGGCTTACCTGTGCCATGAAAGGAGTGGTTCTATAGGCCCAAAGCTGAAAGGAGTTCATTGGTCAGGTGCATTTTGATCTAACGTCATCCTGAGAATGCATCTAAAAAGCTTAAAATCGAAAAATCTACCACGAAGTGAATCATGATATTGATGCTAGGAATATGTTAGAAATCCAACGAACAAGTGCTGTTCAGTTTAGTAAAATTCACGCATATCCATCAACTTCCACTTGTTCTCTTTACGATCGCCATATTAGAGAGACAAGCTGAGGTGCCAACTTCTCGAGTGAATACAATAATTAGTGGCTTCTCCACTTTTATTCAGATTATAGCTTTCATTTTCTTTATACAAGTTTCTATCCATTTATTTGATAGCTGACTTTGATGAATCAACATTGAGTCTAAGGAACGAGATACCTATATCTAGTCCAAGCATCTCATATAAACCCCAAGCAAAAAAGACCCAATTTATTTTGTTAGAGAAACTATGTAAGACCAAAAAGAAACTAGGTACGACTTATTGATGTAGAGCTTCTTCTCGACAAGTCCTCTCAAGATTGAAATTTCCTTTGTTTTGTTGGGGTCCTATTCATTTTTATGGATGGTGATCATCATAACCGTGCTTTTCTTGTTGTCACGTGGCTATGGAACCACACAGTTAAAGAAAACAAATCACCACTTTACTCCCATGAGATCTCAAAAAATAATCATAAAATTACACCATATATGGCATTAGCTCGTTGAGAACTAAGTTGGATCTTGAACTTATCACCTTGACAAACTATAAGAGAGGATGACGGATGGTTGTTTTAAGTTTAAAAATTTAACTAGCACAACATATTTATATGGGGTTTCTCTGACTGGATTGTTGTAAAATGATAACAATAAATTACGATCATAACAGCAACGCATAATTTTCCCAATTGTTTAAATCCACTGATAGTAAATTATAGTGTACTTGTAAGGCACAAAACTTTCGATCAACCAAAATTATTTCAGAATTGACTCTCGGCAAAACAAATTCATCCTAAGTATATAAAATTTACTTAGACGGCACAACTCTTAGTTATTAATAAAAACTTTTCAATCAAGTTAAATCAACCATTTCCTATTACTAACTAGAATAAAGCCCACAACAGCTGGAGACAATGAAACCATACAATCTTGATCAAGTTTAACGTGATTTTTTTCACCATCCACTTTAAGAGAAAGACATTAAATTTTTTCAAGATAAAATCATCTGCTATCATATGTTAAGTATTTAACGACTAACTACTAAATGTAATTGAAGCTCTCTTGCCACCAAGAGAGTAAAATCTCCTTATAGTGTCTTATTTAAAATCTAATATGCCTTCTAAAAATTTGACAAATAACCACAAGCTTTCTTCGAAAAATTGGGCGTAAATTTTCGAAGCACATGCTCTTCACGAGGGCCCTTCGAACATGTCGCCCAGGTAAAGCGCCTACTAACATAGCATTCTCACGTCATTGTTTGACCTAAATTGTTATTACCATAACGAAAATGAGAATGAGGAAGATTGCATTGAATCATCAGAAAATCTTTTGAAATTATCTAGGGTTTGTCCATCCAATGAACATTGATCAATCTTTCACAAATATTCATGACCTGTCCATTGATTTAATAAGGGCATTACCATTTACTAGATGCAATTCAAGTGTATTTTTTGAAAAGACATAGAAGCATAGGTTACCATGCAATCTTTAACTTTTTTTAATATGGTGGTCAATCCAAAAGTCTAATCATTCAATTAAACTATGTTCTCCAAAGCTATACAAACCTGAAATACCCTTTCAATTTTTTGAATATAAAATGAACTCCTATTATATGCTTAAGTATTTAACGACTAACTACTAAATGAAATCGAAGCTCTCTTACTACCAAGAGAGTAAAATCATCTGATAATGTCATATTTAAAATCTAATAGGCTTTCTAAAAATTTAACCAATAACCACAAACTCTCTTAAAAAAATTGGGCGTAAATTTTCTAAGCCAATATAGTGTTCTCACATCAATGCTTGATCTTATCTTGTTATTACCATAACGTACATAAGGATGACAAAGATTGCATTGAATCATAAAAAATTCTTTTGAAATAAAAGAGTTTGGCCATCCAATGAACATTGATTGATCATTCACAAAGATTCATCACCTGTCTATTGATTTAACAAAGGCATTACCATCTAATGGATGTAATTTAAGTGTGTTTTTAGAAAGCCATAGATGTATAGGTTACCAAGCAATAACTTTTTTATATGGAGGTCAATCTAAAAGTCTAATAGTTCAAGTGAACTATGTTCTCCTAAGCTAGACAAACCTAAAATGCCCTTTCTGTTAGGATAAGCTAAGAGAAGCTCCATGCACCAAGCCTTGGCCTAACAGATCATGGATTCTAACCTGAATACTTATAATGTTGCTCCCTTTGTCTTGTATCAGGGGCTTGGGCGCTTTAGAACTCTTTCTTAAATTTGCAATAAACATCGCGCCCACTTTATAAAACACATGCTATCATTTTTTATCCTTTCATAAAAAGGCTAGGGGGGAAGCATTCTAAGATTCATTTTTATAAGTTGGTGCTAATTCTAGTATTATAAAGTATAATGACACATAAGCTTTTTTTTGCACAGTTTTCTAGCGACGCGAGAAAACATACAGCAGGAGACAGGAGTCAGGCCATCGAAACAGCCTTGTTTTCCTGTCTTATTCTTTCTTTCCTATCATCCTTCATTTTTTTTAGTCATTTCCTATATATGTGTATATTAGGGTTTGAATTAGTAGTTTTTTGTGAGTTTTGTACCGAAACATTCGTTGACGTTTTCTTCCCTTCGAGGGTTGTATATTGCTTTCCAGGTGGTGCTTCAATTGTATCTTGGTCTCCAGGTGGTGTTTATCTTTCCCCAACTCCTATGCATCCCTTCCGCTTCGCTGCCTTGCATTCCCCATCACTGCAAACTGCCCAGATAGCAGCCTTGTTGTTGTCTCCTTGTAGCTCGTCGTTGTCCAACCATTCTTCTTGCTGCCACAACCCTCAAATGGTCCTCCTTTGGCTGTCTCGTAGTGTCCGCCTTCACCACCGCTGCCTCCACCATTCCCGCTCCCTGTCGCCGCCCGGAAACAACCATTTCAAGATGTTTTCTTCTGTTCCAGCGACCCGGCTGTCGGTCAACTTTTTGATGATTTGAAAATATGAATATGAAAATAATTTTAAAATTTAATATAAATATAAGAGGTATATAATTTAGGTTTTGAAAGTAGCATGTTATAATTTTTGAAAAGAAAAGAAACTAAATGGATCTCATTCGTCCAATAGTTTGCATAATCGTATCCGATACAATGAATATTACACCCTCCTGAAAGATGAGTGTATACCTCGGAGATAGACACAATCCTGCAAACTAAGAGAATTGTGACATACATTTGGTCTGCGAATCTTTTATGTATGACCGACAAGTTCCCCTATCTAATACAAAGATTAAATAGGGTTTATTTTACCTGGGTTCCAAGTTCCCTATAGAGACAAATCCCATAAAGTTAATTACATCTCAAATGACGGGATTCACTTGAGAAAACTCTCGATAATGATCAGTTGTTATAGTCTTCAAGAATACAAGGTTTAATTCAAGGTTTAGTTTTTCATGGTAGGACGTGAAAAAATAAGTGGGAGTGACTCAAATAGAAACAGTTCTTTCAGGAGTCCAATGGAAGTAAAGGGTAGTGGCGTCACAGATCTTGAGGAGGAACCTCAGTGACTTCCCAAACAATTCTACTGTACGGCTATGTTTTAGAGATGACGTTATTTGAATGTTTAATCCCGTCAATTCTATTATTTAAGACTTACGCTTACATAATACCCGATTATGCAAATAACCCGCAAAAATAAAAGGGTTTACGTCGTACAACACGACAACCTCGGAACCTAAGACGAGTTAGGACTTACGCTGCACAACATGGTTGTACAAGAGTCTAAAGAGGGTGTGAGGATTTACGTTGCGCTGAGCGAACTACCTCGAAGTCCTATGGATTGTTATTTAGACTAGGAAAGAGATTGCTGAAGAAGATCCCCTTGCTGCTCGGTCTGAGTTCCTCGTCATGCTTCCCATAAATTTTATCTCTGAACCTTCTGCCGTCGCGATAGCTCCAAACTTTAAGTGTTTGAGATTGGTGATTTATGTTTTACAGTTTTGGTGTTAATGTTTGGTTTTGTTTTACATACACAATAAACAAATTGCCGATAAATAAAAGGTACTTTTTGAAATAAAAGGTACTTTTTGAAATAAAATACGCTAAAGTAAAATGCTGTAGA